CCCCCATGGTGTGCACAGAGGAGTCATCCTGGGTGCAGATGTCAAACAGATGCAGATGGTTGACAGTCAGGAGAGTCATCCCTCACATCACAGAGCTGCTGCTGGAATCCCCTGGCTCACGTGATCCGAGGCCTCCCGACACACACCCACTGGTCCATGACTCACTGCTCAGACCCCCATCAGATTGAGCTAACTAACTTTTTATTCCCTTTAGCAGAAAGTGCAAGGCAGAGGATGAAACGGTCATCTTTTGGCGCATAATGAAGACAACAAAAAGCTTCAGTTTCATGCCTCCTGCATGACTCGTTTTAAAATTTTTATTTTAGGTAATACGTTCCATGAGGTAACTCTTGGATGAATCACAGCCTGTGGCAAAAGTCGGGTCGACAATGCAGATTTGTTACCAACACACTGAGTCAGACATCATTTCTGACCGCTTAAAGCTCAGAAATGGAAAATAAAATGTTAGGTCCACTCCTTTTTTTTCCCCTTTTTCCTTTGTAGCTTTTATATGGAAAGCAAAGCAGATGTTTATTAACGCCACTGCCTTTTAGGAAAAAGTGAAGCATGGAAAGATCTGACTAAATCGTGGTGGGTTAATATATATATATATATCTGCTGTTTTTGTTGTGATGCACATTTAGTTTCTGTTTTTGACAGTGTGAATATGGAACTACCAGATGGTGTCTGTTCTGCAGGGAAGTGGGAGCTTTAATGATGCTTCACTTTTTCTTTTTTGCCTGAGGCAGAGTGAGCTGAAGACAGGAGATGGTCGATCATACTGTACACACACACAAACACACACTTCTTTCACTGAACCTGTTGTGTTCAGTAAAGGATGTGTGCCTCCTCTTGCTGCAGCCATTCGTGTCAGATCTTTCATTCACAGAGATCTGTTTTGTATTAAAGCCACGTAGGCTTCATGAGTTGTTACCGCAGAGTTGGGAGCAGAAACCCGGCCCACAGAGTCAGCAATGGGCCGGTCCTATGTGTGTGTGTGTATGTGTGTGTGTTGAGGGATTTCCCGCCCTGGCCTCTGCTGGTATGTTTGTTGAGTCAACAGGTTCGGCCTTGAGGGTTTCTAGGGAACAACTGAGTCACTGAGTGGTTCGACTGAAACAAATTTCAAAAGTGTGACCTTATTTTTTTATTTTTATCATTATTTTGTCCTCTAAAATGTTTTCATGGTTTGTTTTTCATCTCAAATTAAACCAGTGGTTTATACACAGTGTGTGTTTGTGTGTGTGTGTGTGTGT